GCAGGGGGGTAGGGGAGAGGCACCTGCCCCTGTGGCAGGGGAAGGGGGCAGAGAGGCTCTTTGGGGGGGCTGGGGAGTTGCATGGCCAGGCCAGCAGCGCTAAGGCTAGTGCCCATGATCGTAAGGGTGGGCGCTTGGGAGACACTTCCTGGGGTGGCTATAACCAGGCCACTTGGCATGGCATGGGAGCCCCAGCCCAGGACTAGGGGTGCCACAGGTTTCCCCTCCTCCTCCCTCCAGCCCGCACCACCGCCCACATGAGCTGGAGCCACTGCAGATGCTGTGCTCTGGCCTGGGATGGGGGCAGCTGGGGGCTCCCTCCAGCAGGGCTGGGTGGAGCAGAGAGCTGTGGGTTGGGAGTTAGGGGCACCAGCAGGGCTAGGAATGCTGTGGCTTGGGAGTGAGGGGCTGTGGCTTGGGAGTATGGGGCACTGGCAACGTCAGGGGGCTGCAGATTGGGAGTGAGGGGAAGCAACAAGGACGGGAGGCTGTGGGTTGGGAATGAGGGATGCCAGCATGGTGGGGGGGGGACAGGGACTGTGGGTCGGGAGTGAGGGCCACCAACAGGGCCAGGTGTCTGCAGGCTGGGAGTGAGGGGCAGCAGCAGGGACAGGAGCTGTGGGTTGGGGATAAGGGGCACCAGGCAGGCAGGGGGCCTATGGGTCAGGAGTGTGGGGCACTGGCAGCACCTTCATCTCGTGCAACAGGTATCCTCTTTTTTGGAACTGGAAATATGGTAACTCTACTGCTATATGAAATGAAATAAATTGTATTCAATTATAGCACCATAGAATAACGATATGTCTGGGGGCTTTTTTACCGAAATCCACTGTTTCTACTTTGAAATTATGAAAACAAAATGCTAAGTACCATATATGATGATGGTGCAAGAGCAGTAAATTGTTTCATGGCAGCAAGTGATTGTCTTGGTTTTGTAGTGGACTATGCTGTGGAACAAGCTCACCAGGGGGTCTTCTTCAATCAAGGCCAGTGTTGCACGGCTGGATCACGGATTTATGTGGAAGAATCAATCTATGAAGAGTTTGTCAGAAGAAGCGTTGAGCGTGCCAAGAGGAGAGTAGTAGGGAGTCCTTTTGACCCAACTACAGAACAAGGTCCACAGGTAAAGCAGGAACATCTTAGCTCTGCCGAGCCCAAGGCTAGAGTGAGCAGCGGGGCTCATTCTAAGTAAAGCATGTTTTGTAGCTGATGAATTTATATATTATGTGAGCGCGCTGCCAAATTCTGTAACGTTTTTTCACAGCAGCAAGGGATAGCGTCTGGCCTTAAATCTATATTGTGCACTTCTAAGCCATGCAGTGATAAGACCCATTAGATGGGCAGACTTCCACCAGTCTCTGCTGTAGGCTGTCATCCTCCAAAAAAAGCTATGCATATTGCAATAACTGTGAGTGTGGAGCTCCAAGATGGGTCAGTTTTGAACACCAGTTAGGCAAACTTAGAAAAAGATCCCAATGTCCCAGTTACCAGAGTATCAGTCCTTCTTCGGGACATTTGCAGGACCTGAATCTGGGACAACTGAATTAAAAGCATCTCCCACTATTTTTGGAGTTCCAAACCAGGTTTATTACTAGATGGCAGTAGCAAAGTTATAAATCCTAGTAGATACTGCAGCCACCTTGGGGTGACGAAGTCACATTGAAGCTTAATATGGGTTACAGTCTTCTTTGAGACGAGGAAGTCATCAGGCATTTACAGGTTTTTAGTACTGTTCAGATTCAAGCCAGACTGAACATATGCTGGAGTCAAGGGGTGATAACTCGCAGACATGCTTGAAGTCTAATTCTGGCTTTTTAGTCAAGCGTATTGACTACAACTGAAATAGCCTTTTCACCTTTTCAGATTGATAAGAAACAGTACAACAAGATCCTGGAACTTATCCAAAGTGGAATTACTGAAGGTGCAAAACTCGAATGTGGGGGTAAAGGATTAGGACGAAAGGGCTTCTTCATTGAACCTACAGTGTTTTCCAACGTAACAGATGACATGCGGATTGCCAAGGAAGAGGTATTCACACACCTGGGGCAAGATCACCATAAATTTGTATCTGAACAGGATTCAGTTTCTTCTGTTTATTTTATAAGTTGAAAATTTTAGAGTTGGAATTTATTGCTGTAAATGCAATATGCCTCCTGATACTCAATGGCTTGACTCTCTCAGATCTTTATGTGGGCAAAAACATTTTCAGCAACTATCTGGGTAAAGAATCTCAACTTTTGTCATCAGCTGTAAAGTTCCAGAGTTCACAGAAGAGATAAGGAAGGAAGGAGGTGGATGAGTTTCATGGGGCAGCTGCTCTTTTTAAGGCTCTGCTTTGGGAAAGCTCACACAGTTTTACAGAGAGCTGTTACCACTAATAAATGTTGCTCTGGGAATTGGTAAAGAGTAAAACAGAGAAGGAAGACAGTTGAAAAAGCAGAATAAAACAGGGATAAAATACCTTTGACAGGGCTGTTTTACAAATTAATCATTAATCTTTGTTGCAGATCTTTGGGCCTGTTCAAGAAATACTGAGATTTAAAACTATGGATGAAGTCATAGAAAGAGCCAACAACTCAGATTTTGGATTGGTAGCTGCCGTCTTTACAAATGACATAAACAAGGCTCTGACAGTCTCATCAGCAATGCAAGCTGGGACAGTCTGGTAAGACAGCAGCCACCCTGCATTCCAGCTATTGGAGATAAAGGGTTTGACTCACTCTTATTGTGTGACTCCAGTTTTCCACCCTTTGTGCTGAATTGTGTATCTAGAGTAACCCAGAGATTAATCAGGCTTGTTCTAGATAGCTAACAACTGTCGGGGTGGCGGGGGAGGGAGGTAGTCCATTGTCACTCTGCCCACCTCATATGTACACTGTGTCCCTTTCCCCTGCTCTTTCTTTGTCTCTTTTGGATTGTAAACTCATCAAAAGATGGGAAAATACTTTCCTTTGTGTTAATGCAGCAGCTAGCCTGATGATGGGCAGTACTGAAAACAAATACCTCATAATTGTAACGTCCATTGTTATTTTCATATTTAAGAATCTTGTTAGCTTTTCTGCTGCCTGCCCCCCAAAGAATCAGTTTCTAAAGTCAAAGTACATAAATCAAGAAAACAATAGGCACCCATTCTCTCCACTCCTGGGAATTGGTAAACCCACTTCTGAAGGTTAACAGCTTGTAATTTGATGTGTCAGGTCTGGATAAATTAAAGATCCAAGAGAAATCAGGTTGAAAAAGACAACCTCATGTCTAATAGCAATGTGTTTAAATTGGGATTGAAACTTGTCAGCAAATTAACAGTTCATTGCTAACACTGAATGCAAGCTATTTAACTCCTTCCTTTGGTCTCCCAAAGGCCCAATCCTGCTCTCTTCATGATTGAGCTTTAAAGTATACATTGATTTAATGTCTTTTATTATGTTAGGAATATGTTACTGCAAATTAAAGTATAGTAATTTCTGAGTTCAAATTGTATCTGTTGGATTTCCCAAATATACGTCTGACAATGCACCCAAATTTAATTTATTTTGGCAGGATAAATTGTTACAATGCCTTAAATGCCCAGAGTCCTTTTGGAGGGTTTAAAATGTCTGGCAATGGGAGAGAAATGTAAGTATCAGGTTTGTAACATTCTTAACTTTTTCCCAGATATACAAGCCGATACAAGTTAAGACATTCTTAGACTCCAAATGACATATGAAGATACTCTGATGGCACAGAGGGGGGAATATGGTATAAGATAATTGGTAGCTGTTCTGAATTGGATATGTATTAGATTTCTATGGCACTGCTATTTTCCTGTGAGGATTTTTGGAACAGGAGGGTGAATTAATGGAACTGGCTTCTCATTCCTAAATGGATTGAAAGCATCTGTTCATACCAAAAGGACACATCTATACGCATGCTTTACTGCACAGTAGACTAATTTGCTGTGCACTTACACAGCAATTAGGTTGGTGTAGACTAATTTACTGCCTTATCAGATAGTTCCTTCAAACTATCCAATGGCAGAGTAAATTTCTACGGTTAAATGCGCATGTAGATAGTGACATCCGGGTTAGTTTATTCTGGCTCAAATTGTGCCAGAGTTTATTTAGTCACATTAATTGCACATGTAGATGCACCCAAGCTGTATGTTTCATGAGATCTGTCCTCAGATGTATTAACCAGCAGTTTTCCAAGGTGAGCCATCGTTTGTTGTTTATCTGCCCTATTTTTGCCTCCTTAATTGAAGCTCTGAGTATTTTTTCCTGCTTTTATTGTTTGCCACATTTTGCAATATCTGTATTTAATTAAAGTGCTATTTATCTCTTCTACATTTAACAACATGTTTAAATGAAATCAGGCCTTGATAAAGAGAGACAACTGTATTTACACTCCTTTAAAAAATTCACTTTCTATTCCAGAGTATTTCTGCCTTCTTCCCTATTCCAACTGGAAGTAAATGTCTGATCTTTTGGTATGGAACCCCACCTTTAATCCTTTTCCTACTATAACTAAATTAAAGCCCTACTAATACTTAGTCCTCATGGGAATCACAAGTTTTATTTTATCAATAGTGTAAGTACCATATCTGATTATGTATTTTTAATATACATGCTTAAAAGGTAAGGTTCACCTCTGTGTAGGGGGTATATGTACTGCTGAAGTCCAACTTAGGCCTTCAAAGTATTTTATGGCTGACTACAAACTCAGCAGTAAAATCCAAATAAACTCCTTAAAACTATAAATATGTGACATATAAAACTTGAACCATAAAATAGGCTCTTTACAATTGGAAATATTTTCCCTCATTAAGTATCACTTTATATAAATCATTCTTTACATACATGAGTAATGAGGTGAGCTAAAATCCAGCATAAATATTTCAGCCCATCTAATTCTTATCATCGTGAAAATATTCTAAAAATACTGATCTTGACAGATTACATAGTAACAGAATTCACAAGGGTGACCTTCATGGCTATCTGTATGAGTAAAAAATTAAGTGTATGCAAGTTTTGATTTTTCAGAGGCACAGAGAAAAGTTGGCACTGAACTCTCATTGAAAATCAATGAGAGTTAGACACATGATTCCCTTTTGCACCTTTGAAAATTTCTCCCTTATAATTAATGTTTGGGTTCGATGATAATATCTCCCCCAGGATGACACCTGTTAACTCTCTTCTGAAGGATCATTCTGCTCACATAAGAATCTCTTTGATCAGTTAGAGTCCATCATGAATTCTTTTTCTCCCTTTTTTTTTCTCTCTGGGTCTATCCATTCACATACACACACAAATATGCAGTGTCAAGTAAACATGGACAATACATCCCGGTGCTTTAAGGAATACATTTTCCAGCTGAAATAGTAGAGAGCTACATACATGCATTAGAAAAACGAGTAGAACAAGAGGTCCTAGCTGTGTTGCCTTAATATTTACAGTAACAGTGGCTTGGTGTGTTTTTGCATTTAATATCCTTTTGAAAAACAAGAATTGAGGCCTGTTATCCCAGTTTCACAGTCACTTCGCACCCAAGTTTGTGACTAGTCAAGGTGCAAAGCAGTGGAGAATCAGCTCCACAGATATTGAAGTGACCCCTTGTTAAAGAGGATCAGGTGAACTACATGTAGCCATTTTAAATTAGAAATGTCCCAAAGACAGGTTCTGGTCTGAGTCCAGTCTCGTGCAAAATTCAGTTTTGCTTTATGCCCGCCATTTACTGCCATGCAAAGCTTTCAAAGCAGTAAAACTTTCAGCTTGGGCTTGTGTTATAAGGTAGAGTGTATACAATTGCACTGTTCAGAAACAGCTCAGGAAAACATAGGCCTCCAAGTCACATTCTTAACCTTGATCATCTTTTGTTCTTGAGCTGAGGAGGCTGGATATTAAATTAATTCAGTCCCTATGGAAGTGCAGCTTATTCCTGCCCTACTCAAGGGAATTGCTATGTCTATCCCTTATCCATAGTCTCCTTCTCAGGTGTGCAGCCACTGTTCTCTTCCTGGTCCAAGAACAGAAGTCAAATTAGGTGTAATGTGGCCATGAAGTAGGACAGTGATGACAAACTCTTTGGCAGGCATGGCACAAATTAGCCCCATATCCTCCCCAGGTTCTACTCTGATCCCATTCCTCTGCATGGTCTGCTGCTCCACGTTCTGTTCCATACTCTGAGCACTCTGCCCAATCTCCTGGTCTGCTTTCTGCTTTTGCCCTTGTGCTCCCTGCCTCATCTCTTGCTCTGCCTTCTGCTTTGCAGCCTGATCTGTTGCATGCTACAAACAGAGCCTAC